GTTTGGCTTTAACTGTAGGTAGACTATGGCCTCTAATCTCTTTATAACACAGCTTTTGTAGGTAAGTACCAAGAATTATATAATCAGAAAATTTTGGACTTATCAAGTCCTTAGACATCTAACCCCACATTTTATAGATGAGGAGGCCAAGGCCCAAAGGCATAAATTGACTTACCTAGGGTCAAAAAGCTAATAACTGGCAGAGCCTGGGCTTGAATTCAGAACTGCTTAGCTTTAGTACCTTCCTACTGTTTCACACAGAACTTTCCAGTAAGACAGATGACCACTTTTGATGGTTAATTTTATGGGTCAACTTGATGGGGTCACAGGACGCCCAGATATTTGGTCAAACATTATTCTGAGTGTTTCTGGAGGGTGTTTTTTAGATGAGATTAACATTTAAATTACTAGACTTTAACATTCCATTAGATTAACATTTTAATAGTAAGAGTAAGCAGATTGCCCTCAGTAATGTGGGTGGGTCTCATCCAATCAGTCGCAAGCCTGAATAGAACAAAAAGACCCTCCCCCAAGGTAAGAGAGAATTTTCTGGCTGACTGCCTTCAGACTTCATGTGACATTGGCTCTTTCTGCCTGACAATCTCGAACTGAAACATCAGCTCTCTGTAGGTCTCCTGCACCACTGGACAACCTGCAGATTTTGGATTTACCAGCCTCTGTGTTTGTATAAGCCAATTCTTTACAATAAATCTCTGTACTTATATGTATGTTGATAGACAGACATACAGATAGATGTAGATGTAGATATAGATATCTCCTACTGGCTCTGTTTCTATGGAGAATCCTGTTTATGAATAAGTCTATTTTCCTAAACAGTAATCATTTTCATGCTTTTTCTTCTATATTTTTACTTTTTCTAAAGTTCTCATGTTACAAAGTTTCAAATTGGACAGTAGGATTTTCTATCACATTGAACCTTGTATGCCAACTCCAATGGGCTGACTGCCCTCTGCTTTCTAAGGCAACAGCTATCTCCTGGACCACACCACTGCTCCACTAAATTCCCCGAAATGGAAGGTATGAGTTAAATTCTCAGGCCTCCATGGCCCCATGACCCTCATGCAAATTACTCCTGCCTTTTAGGACATGAATGCCATGCAGTGGCTTCCTCTGCTTCCCAGGGGACTGATGGCACAATCCAGAAATGTGGAGAGTTAAGTCCCTACATAGTGAAACTTGACCAGTGGGAAATGGGGAACAGGAGAGTGTCAGATGGATAATCTGCCTTCCTTTCCCACTTGTCTGGACCACCTCGAGGTGCATGTCCTCCTCATAGCCCTTCGGGAGGGTCCTTCATGCTAAGTGAGCATGCTTCCTGAATAACTTGCCAATTCTCTTTGTGACTCATTGGGACATGGTAGCCAGTATGAAAATATATCACGTCACACAGCATCACATCTTTCTTTGGCCCACTTGTCTTCTTCCTCAGCCTTGCTGCCCCAGATCTATACCTCTAAAAGTTTCAGCACTTCAATTCTCGCCTTAGGCTCTGCTTGCTAACGGATCAAGGAAAAGAGACATTTTCTGAGTTAGGATTGATGATCGCTTAATAACAGATTGGTGTGGAGGTAAAGAACAGTTAAATTTGTCCAATAACTATCTATCTGACAAATCAAAATAGAAGTTAGGTATTTTTATTTATTATAGCCAGATAATATCTTGCTTAAATATTCAGGGAATGAAGGATACTGTGTATATAAAATTCCCGGCTTGCTAGTAATTAAAATCTTTTCACTCCAAAACAAATTGAAAACCTTTGTGGTTTATGAGTCTGGGTTTATGAATGTGTTTAGAAAACATACTGTATTTTGATTGATACATATCTTAAGATATTTCAGTGTTTGAGCAACGTTCTCACCATTAATCATGATGGCTTGCTACCAAACACAAAGATGATACCTGATGCTGGGTGGATGACCACCTTAGGGCTACTTAAGATACCTTCTAGCCAAGTCAACCTGTGATGTGTCTCCTCTTAAACTGACAAGTTGAGAGTTAGTTTGTTAAGTTCTAACTAACCAAGGTTTTCCTGACTATTATGGGCTGAATATTTGTGCCCCCTGAAGTTCATACGTTGAAGCTCTAACACCCAATGTGATGGTATTTGGAGATGGGGCCTTTGGAAGTAACTAGGTTTGGATGAGGTCATGAGGGTGGGATCCTCATGATAGAATCAGTGTCCTTATAAGAAGAGGCCAGAGGGACTTCCCTGGTGGCGCAGTGGCTAAGAATCTGCCTGCCAATGCAGGGGACATGGGTTCGATCCCTGTTCTGGGAAGATCCCACATGCCGTGGAGCAACTAAGCCCATGCGCCACAAGTACTGAGCCTGTGTGTCACAACTACTGAAGACCATGCGCCTAGAGCCCGTACTCCACAACAAGAGAAGCCACCGCAATGACAAGCCCATGCACCGCAACGAAAAGTAGCCCCTGCTCACCGCAACTAGAGAAAGCCTGTGCACAGCAACAAAGACCCAATACTGCCAAAAATAATTAATTAATTAAGTTTTTAAAAAAGAAGAGACCAGAGAGCTACCCACCATTTAAGTACACAGCAAGAAGACAACGAACCACAAGCCAGAAATAGGGCTCTCAGTAGGAACAGGAATCAGCCAGCACATTGACCTTGGACTTCTCAGCCTCCAGAACTGTGGGAAATAAATGTCTGTTAAGTCCCCCAGTCTATGCTACTTTTTATAGCAGCCTGGGTAGATAAATACATTGACACTGATAACTTATCTCACCACTTGTTTCTCTCTAAACCAGTCTGCAAAAACAGAATTAATGGAGAGAATGAGAGCAAGAAAGGCAAATGATCAATGAAGGGCTCAGAGTAAAGTTGAGACGCAATAATTCTGTTGAAATCTTCTCTAAACACAAACTGTTAGAGAAATAAACTTTCTCTGAAACTCAGAATTGCTTATGTTGACCTTGGCCTCTCCAAATACCTTAGGACATCAGAGCTGAATGCTCTAGACTGAATCCCATGGAAACAGGATTTAATAGTTTCATCCGAAGGCACAGTTAGGGCATACTCTAGTCAGCAAAAGGAACAAAAGTATTACCTGCAGCTCCTTAATTATATTTGCCCCAAGAGTTAATTTAAATGTGTTTAGTTGATTATGCAGAGAGAAAAACATAATCTCAAAATCCCAGCTTTTCAAAAGCCAGGGATCATAGAAGTCAAACCACAGATTTGGCCACTTACATCACCAATAACAGAGATTCTATAATTAGAGGTGAGCCAGCTGCAATCAGTTCTGATGCTGCAGACAGCTGGATCAAGCTGATTTCCTCTCAGTTGTGTCAAGCTAGAATGTCCCATTTTCTCCTTTTTTAAAAGAAATCGGCAAAATAGTGTGACTCGGAAACACAGAGAATCTCTTTCCCCCACCTGAAACTCTAACAAAGTATGCTTTGTACCTATACATTTTTTTTCTAGCTTCACACATCTTCCAGATAAAACACTTTTATCTCCATGTAGCTGCTGGGTGAGATGCCTAGAAAACCCTTCAACTAGACTTCAAATTGATGGCATTAGGAACGGTTCCTCTGAACTAAGACCTAGCTCCAATCCCACACAAAAAGAACCACTTGGTTTATTTTCTCCAGCAGCAGACAGCTGAGAAACCTTAAGATTAATAACCGTGATAAGAGTCAAGATAATTATAACGTCAACAGTTTCATTATTAATGGAAAAGTAAGCATTCCAGGCTGGATGCTCTTCCTCCTAATTCTAACCCATCAGGGGTTCCCACCCAGCCGGCACTCTGTACCTCAAACTCCTTTCTTCCACTGACTACTGTAGCTGCTTCTTCTCACCAGTTTTCTGTCTTGTGAGGTGGCAGGCAGGCTCCACATTTGAATGTACAAGAGAAGACAAGGCAGACTGTAGCAATCAAGTATTCCTCACTCTTATTTGCTTCCAAGATGGTATCAAAACACTAAAGGTCGGGGCTTCCCTGGTGGCGCAGGGGTTGAGAGTCCACCTGCCGATGCAGGGGACACGGGTTCGCGCCCCGGTCCAGGAGGATCCCACATGCCGCGGAGCCCCCAGGCCCGTGAGCCATGGCCGCTGAGCCTGCGCGTCCGGAGCTTGTGCTCCGCAACAGGGAGAGGCCACAGCAGTGAGAGGCCCGCGTACTGCAAAAAACAAAACAAAACAAAACAAAACAGAAAAAAACACTAAAGGTCTCCCACAGCTTAGCAATGTCTCTATTTCACAGTTGGTAGAATCAGGGTTTGTAGGAAAGCCAAAAGCATTCTAAGGCAACCCAAGAATATTCGCTAAAAATATATTCTTCCCTTCCTTATTACACTGCCAATAACATATTTACCAGTTGACCACCGCAACTTAAGCAAAGCCTAAAGAAATGTACGTTGACTCCAGGACACACAAACTGCAGGAAAAATAATGAGTCTAACCCAAATCATTTAAACAGTTGACAAAATAAATGTTTAACCTTTGAGAACACAGTTCCCATTGGTTGGCCTACTATTTTTAAAGACTTTCACACAAGAGCAAATGTTTTAGTTATCTAGTCAATATGACTTTATACTGTCTCTTCCACCAGGAAAATATCTCATGTTTGCTGGTAGAACTGCATCTATGTCCTGGTTCAGATGATACTGAACTGAATATTAGCATTGGAAGCATCTTTCTTATCATATGGGTTAGTGTTTCCTAAACTTTGTCTAGGCCAGGAGTTCCTTTTATTAATTTTCTCCATAAATCTTATATTGCACAAGGTTGTGAATCTTACAAGGTATTTTTATTAAATAACTAATTTTCTCAATTGTTCTTAAAGTCACATCTACTGTCACTGGAGGCAGGAGATGGGTCAGCTCTATTGAAATGACTTGAACTAAGAACAGGAGAGTTCACTGAGTTGCTGGGCAGACAAAAACACATCCACCCCAAACCCCAGACATCCACCCCAAATCCCTCATTTCCTACAAAATTTTCTTTTACCTGCTCTGTTCTAGGCTTCCCCATTATTCCCTCTTCTCCAAGCATGGCTTCTCTGGCCTTTGCATATGTTGTTCTCCTAGGGAAGAAGGACAACTCTTCATTCTTTGTATATATAAGACTTATTCCAGTGTCGCTGTTTTGGGGATCTTGCAAGCCCTCCTCCCCACCACTGCCACTCAGAATTGACTGCTTCCTTACCTTCGTTTCCCCAGAAAGTCGTTTGCATCAGTACTATGAACGTAAGACTGTGCTTATATGACTGTTTCCTACACCTGTGTGTACTCCTGAAGATCAATTTCTATGCCTTACTTACATTGTATCCCTAGAGTTTTGCACAGTAACTGACACACAGTAAGATACGCATAGTATTTTATTTAATGAATACACGAGTTAATGAACAAATGAGTTAATGTATACTATGTAACTCTGCTGCTGTTGCTTACAAAGGTAAAATGTCCATAAGATTCTAAACCAGTGCTGAAAGTGGACAAGGTCTAAAAGATGAGCCTGTATTGCAAAACTCAAACCTTCCCCTAAATGGAAGAAAGTATTGGATTCGAGGCTTTTGTAGCTAAGAGTGTCCTGATATTTGTTTTCACATGCTGCTCCACCATTTTTCCACTTTAAAAAATCTTTTAGTTCTTAGCCAGCAGGGCTACAGGGCTGAACAAGTCACATTTTTGATTTTCGTATCCATTATTCCATTTGATCCACATGTCAACCCTGTAAAGTAGCTATTATTATTTATTCTGTTTTATAGGCCTAGAAACAAAGGCTCTGAGGGGTTAAACTTTGTCCAAGGTCACAGAGTTAGTAGATGTAACATGGAGTTTCAATTTACCTCTACCTTCTTCATGGACCACAAAATATACTTCATGCACCAATTTCATTATCATTGTCACCCGACTGCATGATTGGCAAAGTGATAGGTCACAGTGCAAAGAGATGGTCCACAGAAAACAAGAGTTACTCACACACCCAGATGTGAAACCGATACCACCAGGACTGATCACTCCAGGATGACTTCCATGAATACAATGTATATAAAGTACAAGTCTGATTATGTGGGGCAAAGTACAAACACACACAAATACTCACTGAGATAAAAATATATCAAAAGCTTAAATGCAGTAGTACAGTCACTGATCATTTTAACTTTAACTTTCTTCTTCAGAATTTCCACTGTTTTTCATGTTTTTGCTGTAAATGTGTTCTGTGTGTATACAATTAGAACATGTTAGGTGAATTAAAATAAGGTACAAAACTGGATAACTGGGGAGCACTAGTGAATAGCACAAAAGCAAATTCAATATCTAAGAAATTAGAACATAAACTCACCAGCTCATGAATGTTCAGCCTAGAGACCTAGACAAAAATAAATAAAACCACCAGCCAAAGCAAGGTCCCTTGTCTTTGCCTACTGGCAACAGATAGCACTAGTTTTTGCTGGGCTTTTTGGACATAAAAACAAGTGGACTTACACACAATCTTCAGAACTAACCTGTCTTTAAGTAGGACAGTCTCCAAATATGGCAAAAGAAGTGCCACAAATAATTAGGAAATTCTTTATAAAGAGTACTAGTACTGAATTTAACGAAAAAATTAATCACAATGTTATTTATAAGAGCAAAAATTTGGAATTCACCTAAATATCTAAAAATGGGATAATGATGAAAGATAAAAGGTATGCCTAGATTATGAGTTATTAAACAGTCATGAGTTATATTTGCTAAGAATTTTAATGACTCTGGGAAATTATCAAGATATTATGCTATTTTAAAAAGCCAGGATGCAAAATTGTATATACATATAAGCTCAACTATACAAATATATTATGCACAGAAAAGAAATTTACAACTAGCAGTGATTGTTTCTACACAGGAGAGTTATGGGATAAATTTTTTAATGAATATTTTCTCTATATCCCATAATTTTTTTGAATCTATATCCCATAATTTTTGATGAACACTTATTAGAAAGAAAAAAATTAAAATCTTTCTTCTCTGTCAGTCTGTCTGTCTCTCCCCCTCTCCTCTCTCTCTCTCTCTCTCTCTCACACACACACACACACACACACACACACACACACACACAACCCTAAAGGGAGAAATCCAAAGTTGGAACAGAATAGATTTAGACTGGAAGCAAACAACGTGCTGATAACCAAATAAACCCTTGGATGAGCCAAATTAAATGATTCTGTTGTGAACACTCAAGCCCTTAGCTGACCTTGGTTTTTATCTGCACAAAGCACCCAGAGCCCTGGGCTTGGAGCTAGATGGCAGATAAAAGATCTCCATCAGCCCAGCCAATGGAATTGCTGACCCATCTTGCCAACATTCTTGACTTTTTTCCCACAACCTACTCCTCTTGTCAAGGTGCAGATTTCCACAAGCAGCAATATTCAGAGCTCTAGTGCAGCAAGAAAAAAAGGATTGAACAAGGTACCTTGAAATTCACGTGATAAAAGTGAGATTGGAATTAATGAATCACATTTATGATTTATGGTTACTAATTCAGAAAGCACTTTGCACATACACTGGCTTATAACCACAATGTGAGATATGTAGGCATACGTTATGTATCATTACTTCACAAACGTACTTACTTTTTGTAAGAACTCACAACTTTTTTTCTTTTTTAAGTATAGTTGATGTACAGTATTATGTTATAGGTATACAATATAGTGATTCACAGTTTTTAAAGGTTATACTCCATTTACAGTTATTATAAGATATTGACTATATTCCTCATGTTGTATAATACATCCTTCTAGCTTATGTTATACACAGTAGTTTGTACCTCCTAATCCCCCCTCTATTGCCCCTCCCCCTTCCCTTTCCCCACTGATCACTGTTAGTTTGTTCTCTATATTTGTGAGCCTGCTTCTTTTTTGTTATATTCACTAGTTTTTTTGTATTTTTTTAAGATTCCACATATAAGTGATATTGTACAGTTTTTTTCTCTGACTTATTTCACTTAGCATAATGCCCTCCAAGCCTACCCATGAAAAACTCACAACTTTTCTAAGGGCCAGAGCCTCATTTGAACTCTAGGGTTTCAAATTCAATCCTATGCTCTTTCACTAAAGCATGATGTTATTCCTCAAAAACAGTCTTAGTGCCCCCACTTACCTTGTTCATCTTAAGAGATACTATGTCACGTACAATTTCCCTAAGATTCTTAAGATAATTACAACAGTGTTAAGGGGTTGCTCCTGATATCATGCTGGATCACAATTTTATGCAAGTTTTGGGGGGATGAATGGGCTGCATATCCATCAGGCAGTGTGCTTATTTCGCCAAATGTTTATGAGTCCTGAGTTCCATTAAGCTTGGAAGTCATGCTCCCTGTATTAGGCAGAACTTACAAGTTGGAAGTGACACAGACCCAACTTAAACTAGCTGAGGCTAAACGGAATTAATAGGCTCATCCATGAAATTACCAGAAGGAAAGAGGCGCAGTTGGGCCTGCAAAACAACTGGAATCAAGGCCTTGACCACAATCAATACCCTCTTCCTCTCTCATCTCTGCTTTTCCAGGAATATTAGCTTCATTCTTTCAGACCGATTTCTTTGGCCTAGATCCTGACCACTGGGAACTACTGCATCTTAAAGGTCCCACCCTATGACTTCATTTAACCTTAATTACTTCCTTAGTGCCTCCATCTCCAAAAATAGGCACACTGGGTGGTTAGGGCTTCAACATATAAATTTGGGGGGGATGCAAACATTCATTCTATAACAGGGTGGGCCAGTAATTTTCTAATAAAGAAGGTTGCTACTTCCAGAATAGGGGAACAGTGCTTGACAGACAAAGCAATAGATGGCCTGGTGCCTGCTGTCAAGACGTGGATTAAATGTGGAAATGTATATTTTACCAACCAACTGAGATGGAATGGGGCTAATTTTCTCCAATGAAGAATGTGGAGACTGACAAGCATGTATTGCTTTACTTCCGAGCTGAGAGAGGATGTCTACACTGGCCAAGCAGCCCCTCAAAATGTTGTATTGGAATTGCTGGATCACATGACGGCTCTAAACAGACTCACAGATAGAGAAAGGAAACTTGTGGTACCAAAGCAGAAAGGGAAAGGGGAAGGGACAAATTAAGGGTATGGTATTAACAGACACAAACTACTATGTATACAACAGGCTATACTGCATGGCACAGGGAATTATAGCCATTATCTTGTAATAACCTATAGTGAAATATAATCTGCAAAAATACTGAATCACTATGCTGTACACCTGAAACCAGTATAATATTGGAAATCAAATATACTTCAATATAAAATGGGAAAAAAGTTGTATTAGTTCTTCTTTAGTACACACAAAAAAAGGTGGTTGAGACCCCAAATTCTACACCACAGATTAGAGCCAAAATATTGTTAGCCGGGAAAACAGTTAAAGAAACAGATACCCACCTGTGAAATTAAAAACATAACTGTCAGGAAAGCCAGAAAATATTTAAATTGTGCACTCTGATATCTCCTCCAAAATAAACCAGTTGCAAAATATAATATAACTGAAGAATTAAAACTTGCCGTATAGAAATGTCAACTAAAACACAGTTAAACGTCAGGGTAAATCTCACCCTCCCAAAATAAAATCTTTGGTATTAAAATATTTGATCTGAGTTCCTTCTTTTTCCTCAGCAGTAATTACAGAGCCAGTTTGGTTACCTAGTAGAGCACTGCTGGTTCATGATAATAAAATTATGACAGCTGATTTAGTGAGCAGCTTCTGATTCTCAGTGTTTGGAGTTCTGAGTCTGATCTGCGAAACTGAGAAAGTGAACCCCTCCTACCAGGCAGTCGTCAAGACCTTAGCTTCACACGTCCAGTACCTGTTCCTAGTGGCCAACGATGCTACCCAAATTCAGTTCTTCCTATTTCCATTTATTAAACCTGAGCGTTTCTTAAAGTGATAAGAAAATTGTAATAACATTTAAATTTGACTTAAAAGAATGTGAAAGTCTTTTCAGGTCACTCTAAAGTGGCCACCATTTATTTTAAAACAGGCACTTGGATGACCCACGTTTGCTGTGACATAATGAAGATGGACCTATTTCAGC